CTTCAACAGGAGACCTGAGAGCTCAGAGAGAAGGGTGGGAGTTTATCTTCCCACTACTTTCAAAAGGGTAGATATTTCTGTTTCTGGGTTAAATTGGGACTACAAAGAGAGGAGGAAAAATGTCTCCTCTAATCATGAACATAAACTCTAGTTTGTTCTTAGCTCATGTCTTGTCATCAGTTGTTTTTATAACAAACACATTGTTGCAATTTGGCGGGTGACTCAGCCTTTCTCATCAGGGCTTCCCCACTTCCGAGCTGAGCCCTCCTACCGCCACTTGCCCTCCCCACCCCCAGCCCCCAGTCTCCTCCAGCACAAGAAGTGCAGCGTCACTTCCCTGAAGGGCTCTTGAGATAACCTATGTTATCTTTATAATATCTATATATACTTTATCTTTATACTTTTATACTTTATCTTTATAATACTAGGTAAACGTAGATGTTAATAGTAGCCCTGGGGACACATTCCTCTGGCTCTGCCAACCCAATATACCTGTCCTATAAGACATGTAATATACAGATTTTGACGTTTAACCTTTTCTTAGGAAACTGGCAAATCATTGTTGTAAAGAAGAATGGCAGGGCATCTTCTCTTCTTCAGACTCGAGCATCCACATGAGAGAGCGAAGGGCGGAAGGAGTAGGATGCCCTGGGGTAGTCTGCCCACATTTTATACCGGATGTTGTGAGGACAGCGATGGAGAGTTGCAGCCAGATCCCACTCTGAGCCCAGCCTGGCTCTTCCTGTAAAGGTTCATGAGGCTGGGTATGTAGTGAGTGGGGCTGGGAGGAGGAGAGGAATAGCCGGAAAGTGAAACTGGGTGGTCTGAGTATAGAGTGGTAGGTCCTTACTATATTGTAATATAATTGTAAGTCCCTTAAATCCTATTTGACACAAGGTGACGTGTAAATGTTCAAAGTAATACATAGCGTGTTGGAACTTGTGAGACACGGTCAGAGCACCTCTTTCAAAGCAAATGTAACAAAAACAAGAAGAACCAGGGAAGGGGGACTGCTGGAATAGGTCCAACAACACTACTAGAGTAATAAGCTTCCAAGTGATGAGTAGATGCAACAGAAGCAACTCCATCCCAACAGACACGTGTTGTGACATCATACGAAGAGAGCTGTGCCTCAGACATTAACCCTTAAATGTTAACACAAGCCCCTACAGTAGAGAGATTGTGTCTGTTTTAAGAACTGGATCAGTAGTAAAGTGGAAGCTTTGGAGCTCCGTGCAGGTGATGCTGTACGACCTGCAGGGCTGAGTACAACGGGCCACAGAGCAAGGGGATAATTAACGCAAAGACACAGCCTTGGACCAGCCTGAGCACAGGAATTCCAGCAACACAAAAGAAAACAAAGGATGCAGAAAAACAAATCTTAGAGAACCCACCTGCAAGAGTTGGGAATGGCAGACAACGGTTTTTAAAAAAAAAAAAAGCCCACAATAGAGCATCTATAAGAGAAAACACAAAAGAAAATGTAACATACACCACCTTCTCGGGAAGTACCCACACATTTCTGAGGGAGTCATAAAGTAATGACAATAACTGCTGTCTGCTGAGGTCTTCTGGGCCCCAGGCACTGGCCTCCACATGTATACATATTTAATCTTCACGGCTACTCCCTGGGGAGAGGACTCTTATTTTGTCAAAGACGACACTAAGGCTTGCAGAAGTTGGGCAGCATGCCTAGCTAGGTCACACAACTGATAGGAGGTAGAGCCGGATTTAAACTTGCCGTAGGTGTGTTCCTGCTCTTTCTCATTATCACAGGGCAGCGAGGAACCTGGATGAAGAGGGAGGAGCCCTGAGCACTCCTCCTGGTTAACTCTATGACCTCAGGCCCAGATCCTCTACCTATACAAATGACAAGACCAAGCTGGATATGTTTCAAGAGGCTCTTCCGGATTTAAAATGTTCAGTTGGTTCCAAATCAACAGTCTATAGTTTATAAGAGAAACATGCAAGTCAGAAGGCACATGTAGAATAATAGTGAATCATACTCATGTGCAGATTTTAAAAATATAGAGGTTGTCATCATGGTAGTAGATAAAATGAATCAGGAAGTTGAAAAGAATACAGACATGCATTAAAGTCACCACCAAAGGTAAGACATACATAAAACAACAAAAGTCTAGAATAGTACTGAGTGCACATACCCTATACACATACTGGGGACATGCATAAAGGAAGAACTAGCAGAAATGCAAGGTGTATATGTAGATCTCTCTCTCTCTGTCTCTTACCTATATACCAAAAGAGTACTGATAAGAAGTTACATCTGGGGTGCCTGGGTGGCTCAGTCCATTAAGCATCCAACTCTTGGTTTTGGCTTGGGTCATGGTCTCAGGATCATGGGATCCAGCCCTGCGATGGGCTCCACACTCAGCAGAGTCTGCTGGAGACTCCCTCTCTCTACCTCCCCCTTTGCTCCTGCCCCGGCTTGCACTCATGCACTCTCTCTCTAAAATAAATAAAATCTTAAAAAAAGTTATACCTAATAAAATGGGGATGGGAATGGGGCAGAAGGAATAGAAAATGGAACTGGAAGGTGTAAGGATAAAATAACAAGGGAAAAATTTATGGATACATTGTGTGAACCTAAAGGTAGAACATGATAATACGCTTAGACAAATAAATGGAAAAAAAATTCATCTTGCTTTTGGACATAAAAGATATTTAGCAATTACCAAAAGGCAGAAAGTCCATGTATCATATTATCCCAATGACATGTAATCATCTTGGAAGAAAATAACATGAACAGGATTAGAAAGGAGCTCAACTGCTTGAAAATTTGGAAATGCTCTCTTTAATGATTTCTGAACTGGGGACGAATTCCTGTATATAGTAACAGAAAACATTTTTTTTTTTTAATGAAAAGAAAGCTCACTATCCTAAGAATTGTTACAAGTATATTTTGACTGTATCCAAACCCTATGTAATGAGCAGACAGTTTATAGAGAACAGACATTATATCACACGAATGAGTGCACATCTCTCCTAGCTTAATGAAATGCAAAATAATCTTTGTTAGGGCTTCATTCCATGCCAAAAAAACAAAAGGGTAAGTCCAATGTTGGCAGGTTTTTGGGGGCGCCAGGCTCAGCGCTGGAGGGATGGGAATGAAAGGTAATGAATCCCTGCCCTTGTGGAACCCAGTAGAATGGACATGGCAGGCATGGCAGACTGTACGTGAGCATCGTCATGAGGTGTTTAAAGTAATCCTTGAGAGGAAGTTATTGGAAGTGGTTATTTTGTTAGTATGAGGCTGAGATGTGTGTCCCTAGAATGTAAATGGGAGTTTGGTTTCACTCGTCGTGGTATCCTCAGTATCATGGCAGCCACTGCCCACCAAGAGCAGATCCTCAATAGACACTTGGTGAATGAGTGCAACGTACGTATGGAATTACAGCAAAAAATTACAATGCAAGTTGTTTCATGTCACTCTGGTTATATCCATATACAAAGGTTTATATGTTCACTTTGAAAGCTCAAGGGGATTTTTTAAAGATCAAAGTAGAGCATGTTTCCCTTCTCTGTCAAGATAATTAGAGTCATGGGAGGCCTAGGTAGCCTAGTCGGTTGAGCAGCTGCCTTTGGCTCAGATCATGATCCTGGGGTCCTGGGACTGAGTCCCGCATCGGGCTCCTTGCTCGGCGAGGAGCCTGCTTTTCTCTCTCCCTCTGCCTGCTGCTCTGCCTGCTTGTGTTCTCTCTCTCTCTCTGTCAAATAAATAAATAAAATCTTTTAAAAAAAGATACTTAGAGTCATAATTTTTAAATTGAGAAAGCATTCACACATACCCATACCATCCCCTGTATATTCCTGCCTCGTGTGGGCGATGTATTCTATTCTACCGTGGAACCTTGCGGGTCTAGACTTACAGAGGTAGATCAGCTGTCCTCCACCCTGGCTGCACACTAGAATCCCCTGGAGCTTTACGTACACCCCGTACCTGGGCACAGTCCTAGACAAGCCCACCAACTCCTCTCAGGCTGATGCCCAGGCATCATCGACTCTCACGTTCAGCCAAGATACCAAGGCCACTTAGGCAGCCGAACTCTTCCATCAAATTTACATTTTCAGGGGGTGCCTGGGTGGCTCAGTTGTTAATCATCTGCCTTCGGCTCAGGTCATGATCCCAGGGTCCTGGGATCGAGCCCCACACTGGGCTTCCTGCTATCCCTCTCCCACTCCCCCTGCTGTGTTCCTTCTCTCTCTGTGTCAAATAAATAAATAAAATCTTTTTAAAAAACTATAACAAAATTTATATTTTCATTACATAGGATGTACTGAGTCATTCTCAAGAATAATCCTCCAAGAGGTTTTTGTGAAATTCTGAGTATACCTTTCTTGTATAGGGTGTAGCAAAATGCTGGGATGCCTCTGTGCCACCCTTCCCCAATATTAATGTCATGGGTGGGCAGACTAGGCTAGCCCAGATAGCCTCTGATCTAATAAGAGAGGCTTGTTGGAGGTTGACTTATCAGGCTGCATTTACCTCAAAGGGAAGAAAGTTCTAGAAGTTCTCAGAGGCCAGAGGGAGAGGCTGAGCAGGAGTCAGAAGGGCCTGGATGGAAGGAACTTGCCCTGATAATTGACCTAAAAACTATTCTGTCCATGTGATAAAAAGGAAGCTTGGAGGTCAAGGTCTGGGATTGCTGGTCATTTTGAAGACACAAAGGAGTCTGGCAGCCCAAATTTTAGGCTGTGCTTCTCTTGGTGGGAGAACTCCCCGTGGGAGCTGTGTTTTTATCCTGGGCTCTGGGGAAGATTCTCCGGGACCAGGGTAGACATGTTATCTGTCCAAGGTTTGGCAGGGTTCCTGGGTCTGACTTGGAGCCCGGCAGGAGTGCCCTGTGTACTGAGACCAGCTAGGTCATGGATGGCCTCTAAATCAGGCTAGGGGTTGGGATTAAAGAACCACCACTGGGCCCAGTTTCAGACCCGTGCTAACAGATCTTGTGGGTAACTGCTTCCTTGTCCCCCTCCTCCAGGCTGCCCATTCTCCAGGGCGGGACGTTTGCTTTCGTGGCACCCTCCCTGGCCATGCTCTCCCTTCCCGCTTGGAAGTGCCCTGAGTGGACATTCAATGCCAGTCTGGTGAACACCAGCTCTCCTGAGTTCACTGAGGAATGGCAGAAGAGGATCCGAGAGGTAATGGGCCAAGGGGAGGTGGACTAGGCAATGTTATACTACAACGATGTGCTTGATAAACTTGCTCTAGTTCTGTTTTTCTCTTGCCTCCTTCCAAAGTCTGCCCTTGTCCCTTTATAAATGAACCTTAAAATTTTAATTAGGACATATAGAAAATAACACGATAAATTTCCCAAGCTGAACTTGCTCCTGTTACCAGCAACGGGAAGGAAACAGATGAGTTTCCATAGATGAGTTTCGCTTGGTTTTGAACTTTCTTTTTTTTTTTTTTTAAAGATTTTATTTATTTATTTGAGAGAGAGACAGTGAGAGAGCATGAGCGAAGAGAAGGTCAGAGAGAGAAGCAGACTCCCCATGGAGCTGGGAGCCCGATGTGGGACTCAATCCCGGGACCCCGGGATCATGACCTGAGCCGAAGGCAGTCGTCCAACCAACTGAGCCTCCCAGGCGTCCCGGTTTTTAACTTTCTATACAGAACTCCTCAGAACATACTAGTTTGTGTCTGCCTTCTTCATTCACCATGATTTTTACAAGAGTCTTCCCCCCTTTTATATGTAGGGGTAGACTCTTCATTCTCTTTACTGAGTAGCGGTCTGTTACATAATTACGCAGTAATTTACTTCTCTATTCTGCTGTTACCCAAACTGTGTTTAAGGGTAGTTTCCAGTTATTGGCTGCTATAGATAGTATTGCTATGGATGTCTGTGTACTTGGTACTTTTAGGTGAACATATCTATGTATTTCCACCGAACAGACATGTAGGAATGGGCTGGCCGAATCACAGGGTGTGTGTGCCAGTCAGGGATTGCTGGAGGAGCGGAACCAACGGGATGTGTAGAGGTACACGCAGGAGGAGATGTGTTGTAGGAACTGGCTCACGTGGTGAAGGAGGCCAGGAAATCCTTGAGCTGTCTGCTGCAGACATCGATGTTCATGCCGGTGGGCAATCTGGGCGGCCAAGTCTTTTTCACAGTAGTCTGGGCCGGGTCCTCAGTTGCAGAATAGGCAAAGCTCAAACCAGCAACACCGTGAATACCAGTTTTTAAAAATACAAAATCCTTCCATACTCTGTGAAATGTCAGGCTTGGGCAGACTGCCAGCTCTGCGATGGGCCGCACGCTCTCCTATTCTCCCACCAAAGGCACACGTGCCCATTGCTGTTGACAATCTGGACCACCGTGGGCAACACAAGCGCCTTCAGACGGAGATAGGGATTCTGTTGTTTGGGGGCCCCATGTGCGTGGTTTGTAGCCCAAGGTATCAACTTGTAGACCCTCATGACTACATTCGAGGTCATACTTCCTCCCTCTTTTTAAGACTCAGGGGCATGCATCACCATGAACCACCAGTATTTGAGATTTAACTATAAACTCCTATCCCACACAAGGTAAAATTTCAACAAAGCTTTGTACGATCCACTTGTCAGACCGAACTGCTAGTCGCTGGCCTTGCCCTGAGCCCACAGGGGCAACCCTGGGCATTTATGCGCGTGTGTAGTATCACCATAACTCAGCCCACAGGCTGCATTTAGACTTGCTTTCTTTTTCCCACCAAGGGCCTTCTGTGGAAGTGTTAAATACTCTAACAGCCTCCCCCTTTCTCCATTAGGTGAGCAGCACCCATGCTCTCTGAATTCAGGGACTCACATGGTGAAACTCAAGTCTTTGTTGCTTGAATTAGATTACCTTGTGAGGTAATGTCTGTCCTGGGTGGGAGCGACTGTCACTGGCTCATGAATCCTAGGAACTCCTCCTATGTAACTGCCTTTTCTTTGCCTGACCATAACTATTTCCTTTATTTTTTAAAAAGATTTTATTTATTTATTTTTGAGAGAAAGAGTGTGATACAAGCGGGAGGAGGGGATGGGGGAAAAGCAGGCCCGCATCTGAGCGAGGAGCCCGATGCGGGACTCGATGCCAGGACTCTGGGATCATGACCTGAGCCAAAGGCAGAAATTTGACTGACTGATCCTCCCAGGAGCCCATCAGTATTTCCTTTAATCAGTAAATGTTCCTTTAATCAAGCAAAAACTTGAATGTCTTTCTGGCCCTACTCAAGATACGGTTCGGGTCTCTGATCAGAGCTACTGATGCTATTCACTAGTGGTCTAATTCCAAACAGGGTGGACTAGTTAGTAATGGTCTGTGAAAGGGAGGCGATGGAGGAGCTGCGCCAGACCCCAGCCTCACCCGAAGCCCCATGGCAGAGCGGAAGCTCCCGGCTTCTGACAGGGTCCGTCCTCATTCAGTGTGGGTTCTGTGGTACCTCAGGGAGCACTGAGCTGTGAGGGCAGAGGACATCCATCTGAGCCAGACCCGTGAATGTCAGCCTGAACCTTCTGCGGTTCTTCTTCCCTTTCAGAAGCAGCCTTTTTGCACACACCTGTGCTCCGAGAAGCCAAAAGTGCTCAGTCCCTCCATCACCCCCTCAAGGCCCTGTGCTTCCTTTTTATCTCAGGTTAGACCCAGAGTTAGTTAACAAGGCTCTTGAATCTTTAAAGAACACTCCCGTGGGAGCTCTGGACCAAGATATTCCCTAAGAATTTCACTTGTCAAGCTGGTGGGTCCTGGATTTTTTGCCAGATACACTGGCCAATCTCAGATGCCACGTGTTGTAGTGCCTTCTCCAAATCAGGCTATGCTTCTTCAGGAAGCCTGGTTTTATGAGGCCGTTGACAGAATGAGTCACAGAACACGTGCACGGCTTGTGGGTGTTTGTCTATTTGTTTGTTTTTGCTGTCCCCCCGGGGAGCCCATATTTGGCTTCATTAGATCCAAATTAAAACCAAGCAAAGAACAAGAAGTGGGGGTTCCTCACCCTCCTCTGCTAGAAGCCAGGGAAGGAAGGTTTCCCTTCCACGCAGACCAGCTAAGCTCTGAATTTCTTCTGCAGGAGTCTTTTGCCTGCACAGTATCCAAGAAGAAAGATCTGACGCATTCATTTGTCTCTTCTCCTACCTAAGCACGTCTGCTCAAGTCTTCCCTGGGTCCTAATGAAGCATCTGCCTCCAGCCCTATCATAGCACAACTCACAAACCTTCAGCGCATTTGGAAGCCATTGCCTTGTGTTTCGAGGACACCGGGCAAGAGTTCTGGAAAATAATTTCCCTGGGGCTTGAACAGTATTAATAGTGAGGGAGGTGTTTAGGGATATGGGTCATGCTGTACCTGTGTTAAACATATGACCCCAAGTGGCAGAGATACCATATTCTCTTTAATCTTTATTGTTTATTTTTCGATTAGCAATAATCGCGCCTTGGATAAACCTCATTGGCTACAATACTGCCACTGTGCAAAGCTTATTGTTTATTTTTGTGTTTATGATATACAGAGTCCTTTAAAGTCCTTTAAAGGAATATGAAAACTTCGGCTCTGGGAACAAATCCAGTCCGAGGTCTGTTTTTTTTTTTTTTTTTTTTTAATATTTTATTTATTTATTTGACACAGAGAGAGAGAGAGAGAGAGAGATCAAGTAGGCAGAGAGGCAGGCAGAGAGAGAGGGGGGAAGCAGGCTCCCCGCTGAGCAGCGAGCCCCATGCGGGGCTAGATCCCAGGACCCTGAGATCATGACCTGAGCCGAAGGCAGAGGCTTAACCCACTGAGCCACCCAGGCGCCCCCTGAGGTCTCTTTTTTAACTGCTCACGCACTAAGAATGGTTTTTACATTTTAAAAGGTTGTTTAAAAAAAAAAAAAAAAGAAATGAAAATGTGGTAGAAAGCACACATGGCTCACAAAGTCTAAAATATTTACTATCTGGCTTTTTATAGAAAAAGTTTGCCAACTCCTGCCCTGAAACCCAGGGCCCAGGGTAGGGATTCCTTTTGTCCTAGGACAATAGTCTCCACTATTTTTTTTCCCCACGTTATCTCCAAGGGTCTGACACAGTGAGCCAAACCCGGATCCTTATCTGTGGTAGTTGAGCTCCATCTGCTGGTCTGATGCGTTTCACCAGTGCTGGAAAGTCCGAGAAAGTTCTTGCAAATTCCCACCTCCTTTCATTAATTGGATTGATTGGTTGAATTCACGTAACTAGGCTATTGGAACTTAAGGTAGCGTCTCCCTGTTCAATTGAATTGTATTTATCCACACACATCTCAAGGACTGAAACCACTGGTGGTCAGCACACCACATATGTCTCATTATACTAGTCCCCAGTGAAGGTGATGCAAATGCAGGACCAACAGGAAGGTTGTTACTTACTGGGCTCACGTAATGGGGAAGTGAGAGTCAACAGTGAATCTAGTTTAAGGACATGGTGGTAGCAGGAAGAGTAAAAAACTGGGAAGAGAAGGCAAGTTCAGTTTTCAACACCTTAGACCAGTTCAAACTTCACCTTTCAGTATCATGGTAGTTTTTATGTACCTACTTATGTGTCCTTAGATATAAGTGAAATGAGTGATAGCAATGATAGAAGGAATGAGAAGGAGGGATTAAAATTATTTTGTTATTATAAGGTGCTCAGACAACCCATGAAATGGCATAATGTTCTTTGAAAGTGGACTTGGATTAGTTGTAAAAGTACATTGCAAATTCTAGGGCAACCACTCAAAAAAGTAAAAAAAAAAAATTAGTGTAACTGGTACACTAAAAGAGGAGAAAAAATTGAACCCTATGAAATGCTCAATTAAAACTACAAAAAGAGAGGAAGACAAAAATAGGAACAAAGAACCAAGGTCAGCAAGTAGAAAACAGTAACGAGTATGGTAGATATCAACCCAACTATGTAGTTGAATGTCAGTGGATTAAATATACCAACTAAATGACAGAGACTGTCAGAGGGGATACAAAATACAGGTGACCTAACTATATGTTGTCTGTAAGAAGCCTATTTAAATGAAGACACACATAGGGGCGCCTGGGTGGCTCAGTCGGTGAAGCGTCTGCCTCGGCTCAGGTCATGATCCCAGGTCCTGGGATCCGATCCCTGCTCAGCAGGAAGCCTCCTGCTTCTCCCTCTGCCTGCTGCTCCCCCTGCTTGTGCTCGCACTCTGTCTGACAAATAAGTAGATATCTTTAAAAGATAAATATAAAGACACACAGAGATTGAAAGTAAGTGGTTGGAGGAAAATACACCAGGCCAATACTAATCAAGAGAAAGTAGAAGTTGCTCTGTTACTTTCAGAAAGAGCAGACTTTAAAATAAGGAAAAGTTTTCAGGGATAAAACGGAGTGCATAACATCCAAACTAGGAGAGTAAGAAAGGAGCCATTAAGTAAATTCAGTCGGTCCAGTCGAGTAGGGGTTGGCAAACTACAGTCCAGAAACGAGATCTGGCCTGCTGCTTGTTTTTATATAGCTCACAAGTTAAGAACGGTTTTACACTTTAAGTGGTTGGAAAAGAAGACTACGAATTCATGATGTGTCAGAATTATATGAAATGCTAATTTCAGTATCTACACATGAAATGTTATTGGAACACAGCGAGGCTCATTTGTTCACAACTTGTCTGGGAAAGTTTCGACAGAGGCCATATGGCCCTTCCAGCCTAAAATATTCACTATGTGGTCCTTTACAGAAAAAAAAAATATTTTTTTTTGCCAACTCTTGCAATAGAAAGTGGGAACACAGAAAAATAAGGCAGCAAGAGGTTCAACACGCTATGGAGTGACGTTAGACATCACCACCATGGTCACCATGACCAATAAATACTTTTGAAGGCTATTTCCAGAAAACCTTCAAATGAAGTGAACATGTCCAACAGGTAGATGGAAATCCAGAACTGGAGAGAGGAGCAAGAGCAGGGCTCTCCTTGCCTCCTTCACTCTGGGATTCAGCTTTGATCCTGCAGTGCCTCTGAGGGTGCCCCCTTTGTGGGGGGGAGCAGGTTGAGAGGTGGCCTGTGCCCCTGGGTCTGCCATGATGGCCCAGGCTGGGCTGAGGTCCACAGTTCCTGCAAGCTTCAAGGTGTCTGAGCTGTACTTTCTCTCTCCAGTTGCAGGGCGCCATTATGGTTGCATCCTGTGTCCAGATGCTAGTAGGATTCTCAGGCCTCATTGGGTTTCTCATGCGCTTCATTGGCCCCTTGACCATCGCTCCGACCATCTCCTTGGTGGCCTTGCCTCTCTTTGATTCTGCGGGCAGTAACGCTGGGGTCCACTGGGGGATTGCCGCCGTGTAAGTACTCCCTGGGAATGGAATGGCAGCTCAGTTCTTTCCGGTGGAAGATCACCCGGTAAGAATAATATGTTCTGGATATTGGCAAACTCTTGTGTTTTACAGATACCACAACTATTTGTTACATGATTAGTCCTCAAAAACAAGGAGTTAATCATGGGCAGTATGTAAGAATACTTAGTGTCGTGTTTACAAAATATTGATACTGCGGGTCCTCTGCCTGCTCGGTTTTCATTGAGCCAATCTTTGTAGACCTCTGGCACCTGGGAAGGGTGCAAAGACAGGGCTCCAGCTCTCTCCATAATCTTGTAGTATAGGAGAGAGAGGAGCCTTGGGTCTAAGGAGCTGTGACACCAGGAGACAGTGATAAGAATCATAGAATGCCATGCATGGTCCAGGGAAGGGGGCCATGACAGCCAACTGGAAGGATCAGGAAGGCTTTAGGGAAAGAAGAGGCCTTAGGCACTTCCACAGAGCCTCGAAGGGACTTGGGGTTGGCACCAGACACACTCATTCACGCTGCTGTGATGGTCCGATCACGAGGACTTGCAGAATGACCTGGGAGAGAAGACAGTCTCTGACTCTGGCCTCACTCTCTCCATCTGCTGGGATCTGTCCAGCAGCTGACCCACAGAGAGGAATAGTCCCCCTTCCCAGTATTCCTCTCCAGCCACCAGTAGCTCTGAAAGGGAACAACCCACCTTCTCAGGGATGGGACCTACCTCCTTGGGGACCCTCCTGGTGTGGCCCCTGCCACCCCCTTCCAGAGATGCGTGGTGGCTCAACTTCCTGGACCCTTGCTCAGGACGAGCCCCAGCTAGCCAGCCTGGGCGTGGTTTGTTTCTGTTTCAGGACCATCTTCCTCATCGTACTGTTTTCTCAGTACCTGAAAAACGTCGCAGTACCTGTGCCAGCTTATGGAGGAAAGAAGTGCCACACGTCTAAGTTCTACCCGTTTCAGGTCTTCCCGGTAAGAAGCACTCCCCACGCTTCTGGTAAGAAGCACTTCCCTTCTTAGTGGACTCGCCCGGAGGGTGAGGGTCAGGGTCAGCCTCTTGCACTCCCAGAAGGTCCCCAAGGCAAATGCTTCCCCATGTGCAGGTTTTCTCCTCCCTGACCCCCACCCCTCTGCTGTACAAGGAGGTCAGGGGGAGCCCCGCCATCCATGGGAACACTCCTCTGCTTTTGGTGTAATGCAGTCCCCATTGTTCATGAAGCTTCTCACCCCAGAGCAGAGAACTCTGCCCTAGGTTGGGGCTCTGGGCACCCGTGTGGGACAGCCTTGTCATACATTCCTGGGGCCATCCCCATAGCAAGGTTCATGGCTAATTATACAAAACTGATGACCTGGTTGCTCAGATCAAGGTCTTGGTGGCTCTTGGGTAATCTGGACTCATTGCAATGGGGCTGGTCCCTCCCTTTTCAGACACTGCTCTGCTGGATTTGCATCTCGGTGTGAGATCTGTGTGGCTGCCAACCACACAGTATGTTTTCAGCTTTAATTCCACTGTGAGCTACACTTCACATTGTAAAAAGATACTTCCACATCTCACTGATCCCTCACTGCCCTGCAGTCTGGTGGTCCTACCATTCTGCGTGCACAAGCCTTACTCGGGGATGTTGCTAAAAATGCACCTTTCTGGGACTCTGTCCCCAGGGATTAAATATCAGTAGAGCTTCAGGCTCTGCAGCACACTGATTGTCATTCCATTGTACAGACGAGGAAACTGAGGCTCAGAGAGTTTGATCCAAGGTCATGTGACCAGCCAATGGTGGAAAGAGAAACAGACAATAATCCTTCTGACCCAGGCCATGCCCATTTTGCTAGACCTTTATGCCTTCATTTGACCCAAGGTTTTTCCACAGTTTGTTTCCTACATTCCTTAAATGCGCTAATGATGACACAGATTGCTGTTGGCATTGGAAGGGCCCGTAACCCAGCATTTCCTCATTTCACAGAGCTTCCCTGACCTCCCTCCCAGGCCCAGCACCTCTGGGAGGTGTTGGCAGGGCCTGGGGCCCTGGGCAGGGTAGTGAAGGGGGCTCCCTCTGCAGGTGCTGCTGGCGCTCTGCCTCTCGTGGCTTCTCTGCTTCGTGCTCACAGTCACCAACGCCCTTCCCACGGCCCCCACGGCCTATGGGCACCTGGCCCGCACTGACACCAAAGGCAATGTGCTGAGCCAGGCTCCTTGGTTTCGCTTCCCTTACCCAGGTAATGAGAAGATAGGTCCCCTTTCTACCAGGGACACGTGTTTTCCAGTACTGTCCGTGGGGTCAAGGGCACTGAATGGAGAGTTGACTAGAGGCAGGGGATGGATCTCCTCCAAAAGATCTGACAAGGAGGAGCAGGCCCTAGGGGGTCCATATGAGACCCCTAAGAGAAGAAGGAGACCCTTGGGTTGTCTTAAGAATCTTCTGGGGATGTTAGACCAAAGGCTCCCATTCCGGGACCTTCCTCTCCTCCCCTTCTCCATGTTACTTAGAACCCATGGCCTGAGAGCGGGCAGATCAGAGAGGTCTCGACCTTCTAGCCGGAACTTTGGGACTCTTCCTGGATTAGTTGGATTCTACCCAAGGGAGCCTTAGCCTGAATTAGAACATTTGTGGGAAGATGAGGTCAAGACCATCCCTTAGCCCACTTCTGGTTGCCTTTCCCAGCACTTTTGGCTCAGGTGTATTAATAACCAGGTTCCAGGGTGGGCTGGCCGGGCCCCATGGACTGTGGAGCTCCTGCCTCCCTGAATAAGAATCTCTGCTTCCAAATGCTTCAAGATCTGCCCAGGAAGGGGCCCCGCTGCTGGCTGTTTTGGTGCAACAGTGCCCGCAAGGTCTGGGTGTATGCTTGCCCTCAGGGAGGAGTGGTGGGGCAGGAGTCCATGCCAAAGCCTCTGGACAGTTGTGGGGTTGGGAGATACACTGCCGGGTCTTGCAAGCTTCCCAAAGACCCCTTCCGGCACAGAAGTTATTTTGGGCGCAGCAACGCATGGTCTTCTGGATTAACATTCCCTCTGCATCGCTCCTGCAGGACAGTGGGGCCTCCCCACCATCAGCCTGGCTGGGGTCTTTGGGATCATTGCAGGGGTAATCTCCTCGATGGTGGAGTCCGTAGGCGATTATTATGCCTGTGCCCGGCTGGTGGGGGCCCCCCCGCCTCCGAGGCATGCTGTCAACCGCGGCATCGGCATCGAGGGTCTCGGCTGTCTGCTGGCGGGGGCCTGGGGGACAGGCAACGGCACCACCTCCTACAGCGAGAACATCGGGGCGCTGGGCATCACCAGGGTAAGTCCGCCAACAGTGGCTTCAGGCCGGGTACCTGCATCCATTATGCCCCTGTGAGTCTCTTTGCAAGCAACTCAGATGCTTATTTGATTGATCCGGAGCTCATATGTCCAACACGGGGCTCAGGGCCTAAAATAAAAATATTGACGGGGCTGAGTTTCCGTTAGCTTTGAGGCAAGCCTTTTTTCTTGTTCCTTTATGAGGATTACAAACACAACCAAAATATTTATTTTGACGTGGTAAATCCTTACCACATGTCTTGTCACGAGGACATTTAAATAAATAAGCTCTTAGATGGGAAAGAAAAATAAGCAAAGGCAGGATCTGCTACTTTCTTACCACAGCAGTTGCCACTAGAGTGGGGAAAGATACTTAAAAAAATACTTTCCATTGTGGTTAAAGACATACAACATAAAAAGTGAGATCTGCAGCCACCAAACAAGTCCTTATTCCCCTTTCTCCCCAGCACCTGTCAACCAGCATTCTAGTTGCTGTTTCTTTGATTTCGATGACTCCAGGGACTTCCTAACAGTGTAGGCCTACAGGACTTGTCTTTTTATGACTGGCTTATCTCATTTAGCAGAATGTCGGGACTGTCGGTGGACGGATATACACCGCATTTCGTTTATGCCTTGTGTCTGGATTTCATTCTAGCTCCTCTCTGTGGCCCTTACTGCCCTTTATGGTAGAGCCTTGCCTTGGTCTTCATCATGTCTGTCTCCGTCCCCCCGCACTCCAGACACACGGATTTTCCTTCCCACCTCCTCCCCCGCAGCTTTACTGAGATATACTTGACTATACTATAATATTGCTTAAGTTTAAGCTGTAAATGTGTTTATTTGATACACTCCTGATTTGCCACAGGATGACCATGAGCTAACACTCCCATCATGTTACATAATTATAATTTCTTTTTTTTGTGGTGAGAACACTTAAGATCTGTCCTCTTAGCAACTTTCAAATGTGTAATTGGGAGGCCTGGTTAACTGTAGTCACAATATTGTACATGCAGATCCCCAGAACTTACTCATCTTTTAACTGAAAGGTTGTACTCTTTGACGAACATCTCCCCATTTTCTGCACCCTGAGCACCCTGGTAACCACCACTCTACTCTATATCTGTGAATTTAGCTTATTTATTTATTTATTAAAGATTTTATTTATTTATTTGACACAGAGAGAGAGAGATCACAAGTAGGCAGAGAGGCAGGCAGGCGGGGGTGGGGGTGGGAAGCAGGCTCCCCACTGAGCAGAGAGCCTGATACGTGGCTCAATCCCAGGACCCTGAGATCATGACCTAAGCTGAACACAGAGGCTTAACCCACTGAGCCACCCAGGCGCCCCGCTTATTTATCTTTTTACTTATTTTATTCATTTGTTCATTTGTTCATTTATTAATCCATCTATTAATTAATTAATTAATTAATGAGAGAGAGAATCTTAAGGAGACTCCATGCTGGCATGGAGCCCAAGGCGGGGGGGGGGGGGAGGGGCTCGATCTCAAACCCTGAGATCATGACCTGAGCTGAAATCAAGAGTTGAACCCTTACCCAACTGAGCCATCCAGGCACTCTGATTTTAGCTTTTTTAGATTCCACATAGGAATGGTATCGTAAGATACTTGTCTTTCTTTGACATATTTCACCTAGCATAATGCCTTCAAACTCTGTCCATGTTGTTGCAAATGGAAAGATCTCAGTGTTTATGGCTGATTAACATTCCACATATATGCCACATTTCTTTCTCCACTCATCCATCATTTAGGTTTTTTCCATACCTTGGCTCTTGTCAATCATGCTGCAATGAACATGGGCTGCAGATATCTTTTCAAGTTAATGTTTTGGTTTCTTGACATAAAGACTCACAAGAGGAATTGCTGGGTCATCTGGTGATTCTATTTTTAATTTTTTGAGGAAAAGCCATGCTGTTTTCCATTGTGACTTTGCCAACTTACGTTCCCATCAATAGCACACAAAGGTTCCCTTTTCTGCACATCTCTACCAACACTTGTTATTAATCTTTTTTTATGATAACTGAATTTAACAGATGTGAGGTGATATTTCTTTGTGGTTTTGATTTGCATTTCCCTGATGATGAGGGATGTTGAGCATCTTTTCATGGATCTGTTGGCCATCTGGAAGTCTTCTTGGGAGAAATGTCTATTCAGTGTCTCTGCCCATTTTAAAAATCATTACTGTTGTTATTATTGAGGCATCCAAATTCTTTCTACATTTTGAATATTAATTCCTGATCAGGTAGCCGGTTTACAAATATTTTATCCCATCCTGCAGGATGCCTTTCTATTTTGTCAAATGTTGCCTTTGCTGAGCAGAAGCATTTTAGTTTGATGGAGTCCCATTTGTTTACATTCGCTTTTGTTGCTTATACTTTTGGTGTTACCTCCCAAAATGCCAATACCAATTTCAAGGGGATTTCCCGCTATGTCTTCTTCTAGGATTTTCATAGTTTCAGATCTCACATTTAAGTCTTTAATACACGTTGAGTTAAATTTTTTGAGTGGTGCAAGATAGAGGTCTAATTTCATCCTTCTGTATGTGGTTCTCTGGGTTTCCCAACCCCATTTATTGATGAGAATATCCTCTCCCCCACAATATGCTCGGCTTTCTTGCCAAATATTAGCTGACCATATATGCATGGGTTTACTTTGGGGCTCTGAATTCGGTCCTTTTGGTCTATGTGTCTATTTTACGTCAGGACCATACCATTTTAATTACTACAGCTTGGTAGTATCGTTTGAAATCAGGCAATGTGATGCCTCCAGCTTTATTCTTCTTTCTCAGGATTGCTTTAGCTATTCAGGGTCTTTTGTATTTACAGACAAAGTTTAGGATTTTTTTTTTTTCTATCTCTCTGAAAAATGCCATTGGGTTTGTATTAGGGACTGCATTGAATTTATAGACAGCTTTAGGTAGTATGAACATTTTGACTTTAAATCTTATCCATGAACCCATGATATCTTTCCATTTGTTTGTGTCTTCTTTGCTTTCTTTCATCAGTATCTTACAGTTTTTAGCACAATCTGTCATTTCCTTGGTTAAATTCATTCTTAAGTATTTGATTGTTTTTGATGCTATTGTGACTGGATTATTTTAATTTTCAGATATTTTGTTGTTAGTTTATAGAAATGCAACTGGTATGTTGATTTTTGCATTCTGTGACTTTACTGGTTCATTGACTGGGCCTTATGGTTTCTTGGTTGAGTCTAGGATTCTCTCTATATCAGATCATATCATCTCTGCTGTCATTTATGTGTTGAGGTACGTTCCTTCTATACCCAATTTGTTGAGAGTTTTTGTCACAAAAAGATGTATTTAGTCTTTTTCTGCATCTGTGAGACGATTGTACAGTTTTTGTCTTTCATTTTGCTTCTGTGGTGTATCACATTTATTGTATATGCATGTTGAGACGTCCTTGCATCCCAGGGCTAAATCCCACTTGGTCACAATGTATGGTCCTTCTAATGTGCTGCTGAATTTGCTTTCCTAATTTTTTTTTAAAGATTTTATTTATTTATTTGACAGAAAGAGATCACAAGTAGGCAGAGAGGCAGGCAGAGAGAGAGGAAGGGAAGCAGGCTCCCCACTGAGCAGAGAGCCCGACGTGGGACTCGATCCCAGGACCCTGAGATCATGACCTGAGCCGAAGGCAGAGGCTTAACCCACTGAGCCACCCAGGCGCCCCTGCTTTCCTAATTTTTTAAAAAGATTTTATTTATTTATTTGAGAGAGAGAGAGCTAGAGAGAGAGAGAACATGCACACATAGAAGGAGAGGGAGAAGCAGGCTCCCCCGCTGAACAAGGAGGCCAACACGGGGCTCGATCCCAGGACCCCGAGATCATGACCTGAGCCGAAGGCAGATGTTTAAACCACTGAGCCACCCAGGTGTCCCCAAATGCCCATTCTTTTTTTTTTCTTTTTTAACCTTCCCCAATGTCCATAACCCCATGACCCTCTCCGTACCTCCCTCCCCCCGGCAACGCTCAGTTTGTTTTGTGAGATTAAGAGTCTCTTATGGTTTGTCTCCCTCCTGATCCCATCTTGTTTCATTTATTATTTTCCTACCCCCCAAACCCCCTATGTTGCCTCTCAACTTCCTCATTTCAGGGAGATCATATGATAATTGTCTTTCTCTGATTGACTTATTTCGATAAGCATAATACCCTCTAGTTCCATCCATGTCGTCACAAATGGCAAGATTTCATTTCTTTTGATGGCTGCATAGTATTACATTATATATATATATATATATATATATATATATATACCACATCATCTTGATCCATTCGTCTGTTAATGGACATCTAGGTTCTTTCCATAGTTTGGCAATTGTGGACATTGCTGCCATAAACATTCAGGTATGTGTGCCCCTTCGGATCACTACATTTGTATCTTTAGGGTAAATACCCAGTAGTGCAATTGCTGTGTCAGAGGGCAGCTCTATTTTCACCTTTTGAGGAACCTCCGTTCTGTTTTCCAGAGTGGCTGCACCAGCTTGCATTCCCACCAACAGTGCAGGAGGGTTCCCCTTTCTCTGCATCCTCGCCAGCATCTGTCATTTCCTGACTTGTGAATTTTAGCCATTCTGACTGATGTGAGGTGGTATCTCATTGTGGTTTTGACCCAAGTGCCCATTCTTAAGCCCTGCGCCGCTGCCTCCAAGAGAGGCCTTTTGCCTCACTGGAAAGGCTTCCTGGGGAAGGAGCATTTGAGTTAGGACTTCAAGGCAGGGAGAGAGCAGTGAGTGAAGAGATGAGGCCAGATGCCGGGACACAAGGTCACACCCTCTTCCTTTCCAACCCCATGTGGGGCCAAAGGGGGTGCATTTTGGGGTCATGTCGCCTAGAGTATTGTTTGCGGAGCAGGGTGGAGGCCCGGCTGGTGCTGAGCTCCCCTCTCGTCCTCCTGAGCCCTGCAGGTGGGGAGCAGAATGGTGATGGTCGCTGCCGGCTGCTTGCTGCTGGTGATGGGCGTATTCGGGAAGATGGGGGCTGCCTTTGCCACCATCCCGACCCCGGTGATCGGGGGCATGTTCCTGGTGATGTTCGGGGTCATCACCGCCGTGGGGATCTCCAATCTGCAGGTGAGGCTTGGCAGTCTGAGAAGAGCAGCTGGTGCATCTCTTGAAAAGGGGCAGGGCTGGGGCTGGGGAGGAGGAAAAGGAATCCTTGGTCCCAGACACTACAGTGGTTTCTAAATAGAAGACAGAAACAGCCAGAAGCATCCAGGCTTCTGAAAAACAGAAATTGCCTTGGTTTGCATTGGGTCATCCAGACCATTCAGCTCCCAGGGCCACGTGGGAATCCGTGCCTGGTTTGCCCCCTGGGTGTGGTGCTGAGTCTGGCCTCCCTCCCCCACCTCTGGTGGCAGCGGGAGGGGAGGGGACCCTGGGTAGGGGAGTTAGAGTGCTGGGCAATACAGGTGCTGATGGCTTGGGGCTGCCATGGGGGCCTCTCTCCTGCAGTATGTGGACATGAACTCATCCAGGAACCTCTTTATCTTTGGCTTCTCCATCTATTGTGGGCTCGCCATTCCCAACTGGGTGAACAACAACGCTGAGAAGCTCCAGACAGGTGAGTCTCTGTCTTCTAAACTGTGACCGCCCCAGGGGCAAGGCCAGTGGGGACCTTGGTCCCTGGGAATACCTGTTTCTTTTGTCTTCACTCCAGGGATTCTCCAACTGGACCAGGTCATCCAGGTGCTGCTGACCACGGGCATGTTTGTTGGTGGATTTCTGGGCTTTTTCCTGGACAACACCATCCCTGGTAGGGCTCGCCTTCGCTCTGTAGGCTGGTGGTGTGGATAGACCGGAAGCATCTGGCTGGCCCTCGTGGCTTCTTGGACCCTTAGTACCATGTCAAGCTGAACATAGCATATCCTGAGCAGGCCCTGGGTCTGGGTGGGAGGTATAGGTCCATATTAGCTTTCTAGGGCTGCCGTAACAAAGCACTCCCGATTGGTGTAAACAGCCAAAGTGGATTTCCTCATAGTCTGGAAGCTAAAAGATAGAGATCAAGGTGCTGGCAGAGTTGGTTTCTCCCGAAGCCTCTCTCCTTGGCTCACAGATGGCCGCCTTCTTGCTGTGACCTCACATGGCCTTTCCTCTGGTGGGTGCCTCCCTGGTGTCTCTCTGTGTGTCCTGAGCTCTTTCTATAAGGACAACAGTCATAATAGATTAGGGTCCACCCCGAAGACCTCATTTTTAACGGAATCACCTCTTTAAAGGTCCTATCTCCAAATATATTCATGTTCTGAGACAGTGGGATTAAGGCTTCAACTTATGATCTGGGGGTGGGGAACCACAATTCAAAGCCCTAAGGTGAGAAACACACCAGAAGCAGAAAGAAAAACAGCTAAGAGCCCAAAGTCTAGTTGGTGAGGGAGAGAACACATGCATTCTTTTCCTCCCTTCCTCTCTCTCTTCTTTTCCTTCTAAAAAACCCATTGAACACTACTGTGTTCCAGGCTGTGTCCTGAGAATACAAAGAGCAGAAAGACATGCCTCCCACCTTCCAGAAACCCATGGGCTAACAGGGGAGGAAGACAAGAGAACAGACAATGAGAATAGAGGGTAATACATGTGGCGAGGAGCAGTCCGAGGGTCCGGGTGCTGAGGACGTCGCAGTGAGGAGTGCAGGCCGCCCTCGTGGATGGCTTTCAATGCTCTCTTCTAGAACCTCCCATGGCCTCTCTAGAGAACCTTTAGGATAACACCCTCTTCGTGGTGCTCTCTTTTCCACATTTGTTCTCTCCACGTGTAAAGTGCACCTGCATTCTAGAAACACAGCGTGGAAAGACCCGCCCTTTGAAGGTGGGGCAAGGATGGTGCTCATAGAAGATTGTTTCCTCCTGCAGTGGGAGCTCAGGGAATGCCCCTGAGATGGGACTCTGGATGGACCAGGAAGAGAAGGTGCTGTTGGCTCCGGGAGGGCGCAGAGCAGAGACCCCACAAGTGCCTGCAGGGGGCGCCAGAGGCCTCCCCGGCCCCATGGTGCTGGGTCAGTGCCAGGGGCTGACTGCTTCGCTGTCTCCCATTAGGAAGCCTGGAGGAGAGAGGCCTCCTGGTGTGGAATCAAATCCAGGAGGACTCCGAAGAGACTGCGAAGGCCTTGGAGGTGTACCGCCTGCCCTGGGGGATCGGCACCAAGGTCTGCACGTCCTCCTGCACCCAGTACCTCCCCTTCTGGCCCAGGCTGGAAGCCGGGAACCGGGAGCGGGGCTGGAACCTGCTGGCCTGCCTCTTCCAGGACCCCTCCGGAGTGCGCGGGAGGGGCGCCTCCGAAACCAAGCTGTGACAAGAATGTCCTCACGCCCGCCCCAATGCGCTCTTCACTCCCCCAACCCCAGGAGCTCGTCCGCCCGGCGAGGAGGGGTGGGCACCCTGCACGCGGGGCCGCCAGATGGGTACTGATTAAGGCCATGACGAGGGTGTTGCTTGGACGCCGCAGCCTTCCACGTGCTCCAGCGAAAACCAGCCTCCCACCTCCAGTGTCAGCCCGTGTGACCCAGGGTTCGCCCAGACGTGCTCGGCCCACACATTCTCGGTCATACTTTGATGCCTTGGGATGAAGAGGCCTGGGGTGGCAGAGGGGACGGAGGCAGGGCTGTTTGCTGGAAGGCACCAGGAACAGTTGTCTTTGAGCCCCTCTTGTCCTCCCCCTCCCTGGCACCTGCCCCTTGGGGCTGGCTCTTCAGGAGAGATGAGGACCCTCTGTTGCCCCAGCGCCTGCTCTGATCTCCGGGTGCTCCAGGCCGCCGCCGGCTCAGGCTGTTTGCGATGGAAGGTTCTTAGCGTGCACCTTCTTGGAACGTGCACGTTAGGCTTTGCCCTGCTCCTGCAGGCTGCCAAGGGATCAGAACCCACTCCACCAAAATGGCCTCCCTCGAGAGTGTAGCATGAACTCCTGCCTGAGTTTCCAGCTGTCTGGTCCACCCTGCAAATTTCAGATTTGTGGTCTCCACCATTAATACTTAAACCGATACCTACCCCCGTACCTTTACCTGTCCTCTGGGGTCTGTTTCTCTGACAGATAGGTGCTGGCTCATACGAGACGATACCAGTCAAGACACAGGAAGATACCTGACCTTTGCAGGAAGAGGCCTCAGTGGGGAGGACGGGAGGGCAAGGCCCATCGGAGGGGATGTTAAAGCGACACCACAGCCAGTGAGCCCTGCGGGGGGGGGAGCAGAGGGCTGTTCGGTCTGAAGAGTAGAGGCAGGGACACTCCTAGCACATGGCCACGGGGAGAAAGGACACAGCATTCCCCTGAGGTCTGCCCTGGCCAGGGTCCCCTGCCGCACAATGCTCCAGGAATGGGGGCTGCACCGGAGTGTGTGGGGGCCATTTGGAGCTGGCACACGTTCCTTGAGGACCTACTATGTGCAGGCACCTCTGTAAAGGCTGATTTCTCCTTTCCCACATGCTGGATTGTCCTTGACCTTGTCCTTGGGGGCCTGGACGGGGTAGGTGTGAGTGCTCCTCTCCCCTTCCTTCCCAGCCCCCGTGTGGGCGACCCCGAGGATAAAGGCCTGCCCGCCCCTCCTTTGGGTGGTTCATCAACAGTGATGTGCTGCCTACGGTCCTTGCAGAGCTGCCATGTGAGCCCTTGCGGGTGGGCTGCTGACGGGACGGAGGGGAGGCGTGAGCCCCGGGGGCTTAGGGCAGGCAGGACGGCGCTCAGGCCCTAACACATGACCCGCACGCCAGGTTCTTCCAGAGGAGATGGAACAGCCGAAGTATTCAAGAGGCCTTCAGGGCACGGGAGCCTCTGTCACGGTGACAGGAAACTTGAAAAAGCCGGGGAAGCCGTTCTCTGCATGGCCGGCGGGTTAGTCTGGGTTCTCCAGAGAAAGAGAGCCCTGGGGATGTGGGACGTGGGTGTGTGTGCACGCACACACGTCCACACACGATATGCACGTGCGTACACACATACGCAGGGGGAGAGATGTTCAGGAGCGGGCTGTCATGACGTTGCAAGCCGGAATGTCTGTCAGTGGCGGGAGAGTTGCTGCTCGTGTCTGAAGGCGCTTCCCTCCCCCTCGTGGGAGGTCAGTCTTTGGTTCGATTCGATCCTCCAGCTGACTGGATGAGGCCGACCCATTTCAAGGAGGCTAATCGCTCCACATTTACTCAAAGTCTACCGGTTCAGATGTTTATCTCACCTCACTATACCGTCCTAGAAACATCGAGAATCATGTGTGACCAAGTATCGGTACGGTGGCCTGGTCAAGCTGACACATAGACTCTACTGTCCCGTGCAGTGTGCGCGCCCGGGAACCTTGCCAGAAAGCACTCAGAACCCGGCAGGAGCGGGCTTGAGCTTCATTTAGGTACCAGAAGAGGCAGATGAAGCTCGTTCTACCCTCATGTCCTATAGCTCCTATAGCACAGGCACGGTCAGCACCCTTCCTGGGCTGCCACAGCATGCATGATGAGCGAGGGGCCTCCAGAACTCTCTAGAACCCATCAGAACTATGCTCCAAACCCAACCTGTGCCAAAAGTACCTGGTGTCATGGTACCTCTGGGGACAAACCCTGCCTGTCCTTTTTTTTTTTTTTTTAAGATTTTTATTTATTCATTTGAGAGACAGAGCACAAGCAGGGAGACAGGCAGACGGAGAGGGAGAAGCAGGCTCCCCGCCGAGCAGAGAGCCCAATTCGGGGCTCCATCCCAGGGCTCTGGGACTATGACCTGAGCGGAAGGCAGATGCTTAACCCACTGAGCCACCCAGGCACCCCCTGCCTGTTCTTTCTTGAAATGCCCATGGACTGGGCTCCGGCCAGGCTGCACCAGGTCCCCCTGAGTAGGAGCAAAGGAAAAGCAGGTGTGTACCTCGCAGCGGGCCAGGTGACATGACGGCAAACAACTCTGAAAGACTGACACAGAGCCACACTACTTTTAAAGCCTTTATAATAATCAGAACCTCAAACCAACAAAATGTTCTGGGACATTCTGCAATATCCCGGAAGGGGGAGGTGGATACAGCCTTGGCTGCCGGCATTAATACTTGGAAACTGCCCACTGCCTTCACCCCTTCCCGTCCCAGCCGTTCCGTGTCACAGATCTTCATCGTCAAAGGTCTCCAGGCACCTCAGCATTACCAGCTCATCGTCAATGGACTGGTCTGGTTCCTGCAAAACGTAGGGTGGCAGAGGATCAGCATGTAGTTAAGGAATCCAGGCCCCAGGCATGTGGGACAGCCCCGGCATTCTCCGCAGAGTCTACCCCATCTCTGCAGTCAAATGCTCTACCACTGAGCTATACCCCCGAGTCTACCCCATCTCTGGCTGCACCTCCTTCTCCAGCTTCCGGCCAGGAAGTAAGGGATCCAGGTGGGGGCGGGGGGGGGGAGGGATGTCCCATTTCCGTTTCACGCAACTGCCACACTCTATGATCTTCAGAAAGGGTTTTCCTGGGCACAAGGGAACTGGCTTCTTTTCCATGCTGGACACTTACAGGATCCCATAAGACAGAGGGGAGACCTCTCCAAGCTTTACCCAAATGCCCCTCTGTGGAGGACAGCGAATTATACCGCAGGGTGCCCACCAAGGGGATGCCACACAGCTGTTTGAAATAACAGGAATGAGGTCGTTCTCTGGGGGATATACTATTTAAAAAGAAAAGAGGGGGCATCTGGGTGGCTCAGTCAGTTGTGTCTGACTCTTGGGTTCGACTCAGGTCATGATCTCAGGATCGTGGGATCGAGGCCCTCCCACCACCCCTTTCAGGACCTGTGCTCAGCGGGGAATCTGCCCGAGATTCTCTTTCCCTCTCCTGCTTGTGTCCTTTCTCTCAAATAAACCTTAAAAAAAAAAAAAAAAAGCTAGGTACAACATAACGTGTAGTGTAGGTTCTCATTTGTATTTGAAGGATTATATAAATCACTGTAGGTTATCTCTGGGTGGTTGTCCCGAAACTAGTAATGGTGATCGCCTTGGGGAAGTGAATGGGGTGTCAGGAAGGGATGCTGGTCGGAGAGAGACTGAGTTTTCTTTGTATTTCTTTTGGTAACTTTAAAGTTTTAAAGTAGGTATGTGGGTCAACTACTAACTAATTGTTTAAGAAGTAGCTCTAGGTTATTTAATTCCCTTTATAATGACCTCCCACTGACTTCTCTGACCCCCCATCACCTCTTCCCCTAAAAGGATGTTCCTGGGTTTCGCTCTTCCTGTCTTTCCCCATCTTGGCAGAAAATGATCCCTATAGTTTGTCATGGGTTGGTCCCCTGGGGCCCTGGGAAGCATCCCAAAACCCAGTCAACCATCCCATGAATGTGGGACCCGGTCCCCGGGGTGACCAGCGGCCAGGTTGGCAGCAGGGGGTCTCCGGGAAAATCACATGGGCCCCCTCATTCAGGGTAAAGACCAGAGCAAAGCTTGAGAAAAGGCAGAGTGGAGCGCAGGGGGCACCAGGAGGCCAAGAGTCCTGGGAGGGACAGCCCATGAGTCTCTGTCACACTGACTGCTTGAATGTTGTTCAGAATGGTATAGTTCTCTAAGCCCCCGAAAATGGTGTCTGAGGTATTTTTAAGCTACAGGGTTGGGAAAGCAAGAGGCTAAGAGAGGTGCCTGCTGGTACTGGGTGCTGAGGTGTGTTGAATAGTATCCTTCCTACCCCAATTCATGCCCACCTGGAACCTTCTTCAGAAACAGGGGCTTTGCAGGTATAATTAGCTAAGGACTGCAAAATGAGCTCCTCCTGGGTTTAGGGTGAGCCCCTAATCCAAAAGACCGGTGTCTTTAGAAGAAGGTGAGAGGGCTAGAGAGACTCCCAGAAGGCCTTGCGAAGGCAGGAGGCCTTGGTGGGAGGGATTCAGCTGTGAGCTGAGGCATGCGGAGGATGGCCGGGAGCCCCCAGAGCTAGGAAGAGGCAAGGAGAGACCTTTCCTCGAGCCTTCAGAGGTGGCATGGCCCTGCCAGCACCTTCATTTGGCCTCTAGCCTCCAGGACTGTGAGAGAAGCAGTTTTTGTTGTTTTAAGCTACTGTGTTTGGTCATTTGTTATAGCGGTCCTAGGTACTGTCCAGGATCTGGTTAAGGTTTCATCCAATGACCTCGTGATGCTGACGGGGGAGAGGGTGGGGAAGAGAATGAGATTTTCCTCACAGCTCCGCATAGCCAAGGCCAGGGGCCTTCCACACCAGAGCCACCTGGACAGCTTGTTCAAAATACAGATTCCTGGGGCCCCGCCTCACAACAGTGAATGAGAATCTGGGGTGCTGGGGCTTCAGGAATCTGTGTTTCCAGTTAGCTCCCAGGACGACTGAAGTTCAAGCATCTCTACTTTATTCGGATACTCCAATCCTGTTTGAGCTTTCTTTTCTACTATATTCAGGGAAAGGAAGCAGGAAAAGCCAAAACTGTTCTGTTACTCTGTTCCACAGGCCTCGGGAAGGTGGACTGACATCCCTGTGTCCGAGAGAAACAGGGACACAGTGGTAAGGACCAGACGGCCAGCCAAGCGTTGATGGGAGGTGGGGAGCAGCCAGAGGGGGGGGCCTGGGCTCCAAGTGGAGAGTTGAAGTGGACCTGGCAGAGGGAAGCGAAGGATTCGTGGGAAGAGGCCCAAATTATACTTTGGTCTATTGGAAAGCTGCCCCAATTACTTTTAGACAAACCTTGCCATTAATACTGCTTACCTTTTTAAAGAAACAGTTGTATCTTTGCTGAATTGGTAGAGAAAATCCTTGGCTATGAATCTGAAAGGGTCTGTCCCATTCAGGCATAACTCTCCTTCCCTCATGGAAGTTTCTGGGATGTCCCTTCTAATCAAGCCACAACCAGCTTTGGGGAAGTGGAAATTAATACCCTTCGAACACCGAGAGCAAATAATAGCACAGGGTCTCAGAAGACAACAGGACAGCGTAGCCTCTTGGAAACGAGTCACACAATGTTGGCAAATGCCTGCAAAGAGGCCCCTGGGATCTGGTCGACACTTCAGGGGACCCCCTGTCTCAGTCCTGCCCTGGAGACCATCCGTGTGCCTCTTCCCTCAGTTTCCCTGGATGTTTCCCATCCCCCAGGATGTGTCAGGTTGATGCCCACCATCCACGGAACAGGCCAAAGAACGAAGGGACGTCTGCCCCCAGGGTGAGGTGAGGTGAGGTGTGAGGTGAGGTCCCGCTGGTGGGGAGGCCTCAAGGATCCTTCCCGCCATCCTAAGGGAGGTGAGGCGAGGTCTCCTCGCGCTCCGCTCCGTCCTACCTGTTTTAACTGAGGGTTAATACAGCAAAGGCCCTTAAAAAAATCGATGATCTGCATGTAGAGCTGAAACTTCTCCTCCGGATATTCTGGGTTGCAGCCGGCAAACACCGAACTGATGACAGAAAGGGGAAGAACAGCAATCCTCAGAACCCTCCTCTTTAGCCTCTGCTGGCCCCCCCTAAAATTCCTGGATTACAGCATGAACTGGGCACTCGTAAACACCCCGTTGAATTCATTCTCAGGCTGGAGCCCCTTTGGAAGGTTTGTGTTGCCTCAGCTTCCATGTCACGTGTGGAACCCACGGGAAAAGGGAGACCCTGGGGAGACTGGCTCCTGTGCCCTAATTTAGTGTTCTGGGCTGTGGCCTGTGGAAGAAGGAGCAAAATGGCCTCTCTCCCTCAGAGTCCCCCTCAGAGAGCCCTGCCCCGCGGTCCTGGTCCCCGTAGCTGCCTGGAGAGCTCAGGGGCACAGGCTACACTGGAGCTCAGTCCCCTGAGATGTCCCCCTTCCATGGGGAGGCAAGCCCCAATGATGCAGGGAGGTGGCCTGTGTGGCAGGCTCCTTCCCCCGGCCTTCCTGGGACGTGGGAGCAGCCCCATGATGTCAGGAGCCTGAAGTGCCGGGACAGCCTACGTGTTGACCTCACATTCTCTCAGAAGTGGGTCCCACTAGCCACAAAGAAACCCTCTGGCACCAATCCCTGCCTTCTCCAGGGATAGCAGAAAACGTTTTCTAGTAGGCCGTTTCCATGTTCCATCAGCAGGGCAAGGAATTCCAGATCCTGCTTGGCAAGTACACTCTGGCCACTTCTTACCAAAGTTCTCACGGCCGGAGCCTGGCTCAGAAATAGGAAAGTCCACCTCCAGCCCGTTTCAGCAAAACCAGACCCCACACATAGCTGATGGGAGCGGGAGTCACCCCCTAAAATCACTTTGGAGGGTTTGGGCGAGTCCCTTGAAGCCGGGTGGAGCTGGCCACTTGTGGGGAGACAGGCTGATGTCCGGTGCCCCCCCACCATCCCCCAGGCAGCCAGGTGACCAGGGGCTGCATGGCTTCGGAGGAGAGTGGGGGTAGTCGTTGGAATATGAGGACAGGAATGTCTCCTCACTCCCAAAGCAGGAAAACAAAATGTTCAGGCCTTTTTCAGCCTTCTTAAGGGTCTGTGCCTGCAGGCTCTAAGCCCACAGCTTTTCAAATGGCAAGGGAATTTCAGTCCTAAACCAGCCCTGTCTTGCCCTCTCTCCATATCCCGCTTTGTGTCGTCTCACTCCACAGGGTCAGCTATCCCATCCTCCCTTCTTTCCACCTCTGTCCTCAGAAGCCCAGTGCAAAGCAGCTTCCCCCTGCACAGCTCAGAGAAGCCCTCCGCTCAGGGCGCAGGCCCGGTTCCATGTTGGCCCAGGCTCTCGGTGTCCCAGAGCCCCTGCCCAGCTCTCAGAGCAGACACTGTGGCAATGCCCACAGCCCCCTCCCTCTGGGCAGATGGAGCACAGGGACAACCCACAGCCCATAACCTGCTGCGTCTCCATCCTGGGCCAGGATGGGAGAACCTTCTATGCGCAAAAGCCCCACACCGAGTCCTCCCCAGACAGCCGCACAATTCTAGGCCCAGCCTGCTTTGAACCACAGACAAAGCAGATCTCTGAGAACTTCATGGAATTCTGCACCCCTCTGTCGGGCAGCAGGGGAGCGGCTCCTAAACACCCCAGCCGCCCCCTCCCCAGACTGTGTCCTACCCTCTTCCTCACCTAGAGCTGGATGTACTGGGAGCCTCATTTTTGTCCAGGAAACTGGCCACATCGAAGGCGTCTTCAAAGAGTATCTGGAGGAAGGCACAGAACATGGTCACTAACAATGAAAATACAGAAAGGGAAATTAGAGAATCGATTCCATTTACTATAGCACCAAGAACCATAAGATACCTGGGAATAAACCTAACCAAAGAGGTAAAGAATCTGTACTCAAGGAACTACAGAACACTCATGAATGAAACTGAAGAAGACACAAAAAGATGGAAGACCATTCCATGCTCTTGGATGGGAAGAATAAACATTGTTAAAATGTCTATACTGCCTAGAGCAATCTATACTTTTAATGCCATTCTGATCAAAATTCCACTGGTATTTTTCAAAGAGCTGGAGCAAATAATCCTAAAATTTGTATGGAATCAGAAGAGGCCCCGAATTGCTAAGGAAATGTTGAAAAACAAAAATAAAACTGGCGGCATCACGTTGCCTGATTTCAAGCTTTACTACAAAGCTGTGATCACCAAGACAGCATGGTACTGGCATAAAAACAGACACAGACCAGTGGAACAGAGTAGAGAGCCCAGATATGGACCCTCAACTCTATGGTCAAATAATCTTCGACAAAGCAGGAAAAAATATACAGTGGAAAAAAGACAGTCTCTTCAATAAATGGTGCTGGGAAAACTGGACAGCTATATGTAGAAGAATGAAACTCGACCATTCTCTTACACCGTACACAAAGATAAACTCAAAATGGATAAAAGACCTCAACGTGAGACAGGAATCCATCAGAATCCTAGAGGAGAACATAGGCAGTAGCCTCTTCGATATCAGCCACAGCAACTTCTTTCAAGATATGTCTCCAAAGGCAAAGGAAACAAAAGCGAAAATGAACTTTTGGGACTTCATCAAGATCAAAAGTTTCTGCACAGCAAAGGAAACAGTCAACAAAACAAAGAGGCAACCCATGGAATGGGAGAAGATATTTGCAAATGACAGTACAGACAAAAGGTTGATATCCAGGATCTATAAAGAACTCCTCAAACTCAACACACACAAAACAGATAATCATATCAAAAAATCGGCAGAAGATATGAACAGACACTTCTCCAATGAAGACATACAAATGGCTATCAGACACATGAAAAAATGTTCATCATCACTAGCCATCAGGGAGATTCAAATTAAAACCACATTGAGATACCACCTTACACCAGTTAGAATGGCCAAAATTATCAAGACTGGAAACAACATGTGTTGGAGAGGATGTGGAGAAAGGGGAACCCTCTTACACTGTTGGTGGGAATGCAAGTTGGTGCAGCCACTTTGGAGAACAGTGTGGAGATTCCTCAAGAAATTAAAAATAGAGCTTCCCTATGACCCTGCAATTGCACTACTGGGTATTTACCCCAAAGATACAGATGTAGTGAAAAGAAGGGCCATCTGTACCCCAATGTTTATAGCAGCAATGGCCACGGTCGCCAAACTGTGGAAAGAACCAAGATGCCCTTCAACGGACGAATGGATAAGGAAGATGTGGTCCATATACACTATGGAGTATTATGCCTCCATCAGAAAGGATGAATCCCCAACTTTTGTAGCAACATGGACGGGACTGGAAGAGATTATGCTGAGTGACATAAGTCAAGCAGAGAGAGTCGATTATCATATGGTTTCACTTATTTGTGGAGCATAACAAATAACGTGGAGGACATGGGGAGATGGAGAGGAGAAGGCAGATGAGGGAAATTGGAAGGGGAGATGAACCATGAGAGACTATGGACTCTGAAAAACAACCTGAGGGTCTTGAAGGGGCGGGGGTGGGAGGTTGGGGGAACCAGGTGGTGGGTATTAGGGAGGGCATGTATTGCATGGAGCACTGGGTGTGGTGCAAAAACAATGAATACTGTTATGCTGAAAAGAAATTAAAAAAAAAAAAAAAAGAACATGGTCAGAGAGAACTGCGGACGGGTGTTTGCTCTGGGCTGCTGGCAGAGAATGGGGCCCAAATGCAGGGTCACTGTCTGGTGACCTTCCCAGGCAGTACCTAGTGAGCTCTTGTCTACCCAGAACAAACCACGACCCCAGAGGTGGTTACAAGGGATGGGGAAGCCTCCAGGGACTGTGGTTATCTCTTCCTTCTTCCTTCCCTCCCTCCCTCCCTTCTTCCTTCCCTTCTTTCCTTTCTTTTCTTTTACCATCTTTTCTTTTCTTTTTTCTTCTCTTTTCCTTCCTTCCTTCCCTTCCTTCTTTTCTTCTTTCTTATTTTTTTAGCAAGAAAGAGCACAAGCAGGGTAAGAGGGGCAGAGGGAGAGGGAGAGAATCCCAAGCAGGCTCCATGAAGCGAGGAGCCCAAAGCAGGGCTTGATCTCATGGCCCTGAGATTGTGATCTGAGCCAAAATCAAGAGTTGGTCACTTAATGGACTGAGCCACCCAGGCACCCCTAAATCTCTTTTTTTCTAGAAGGTGGGAGCTCAGACATTCAATGCAACAGCCAGAGCTTCCATGTACACCAGAAGAGGGCTCATCTACACCTCCCAAGAAGCAGAGGCTCTTGGTGCCCAGGATCTGCAAGCTAGCAGTCTCGTGCCAGGACAGCAGGATAAGAGGTTGGTGGTTCGGGGTTGGGTTGCAAGAGAGCCAACTCCCAGTCCTGTCGCTCACTAAACTGTGTGACCTCGGGGCAGTGACCTCGTTTTTCAAATCCTTCTCCTATGCAAAGGGAATCGCAACCGAACCTACCCATAGGGATGTTGCAGGAATTAAAAAGATGAGTTACGTGAAACACCAGGCACATAATAATGCCCAATTTGTTGGCTATTATTGAATATTACCGGCTTTATAAAAGAGACGCATGTTTATTGTGCAAATTTTGGAAAAGAGAAACAGATAATATTACTGAGAAACCATCCCAGCCAGAGGGGTCCATTGCTGACACACTAACCTATTTCCCTCCAGTCATTTCCTGAGGCATATTATAGCCTGTATTTCCAATTTTACAATCTTGTTATTTAGATGGGTTTTTCAGTCCTGCTTTGCTTTAATTCTTGAAGACTATTAAATATTCCACAGGAATGTGATATACATTTAGGAAATATGCAAGATTTAGCAAATAAAGATGCAGGGTGCCGAGTTAAGTTTGAATTTTTAGATAAAGAATGAATCATTTTTTAGCGTGAGAATGGGCCCAATATTGCATAGGAGGTTCTTACATCCAGACTCTCACTGGGCACGCCTCACTGTGTCTGACACCTTGTTTATGAGCACAACCACCCCAAGAAGAGGAAAGGGAGCTTTCTGGCCCCAAGTTGGCAGGTTCTGGCAGGTTCTGGCAGATTCCACAAGGTCTCTCCTGTCCCCTTATCTGGGACGCACTGCTCTTTCTCTGGAAGTCTTGTGTCTGTCCTTCTTATCTTCTTACAATTTGCTTCCCTTGAACTGAATCCCCCAGGACTCAGGCCGTGTAGATGGCCCTTCTTCTGATCTTCTGGACATTTCATGGTGTCCTTCTTTTTAATATTCCTTTGCTCATCTTGAAGAGGATCTGGAAAGAGGCCACTGAAAGAACCAGTCCAGAAGCTCATCCATCCACTGTGTGTGCTTTCCCCAGCAGGTCTGAGGCTGGGTCCTGGGCCCTAAATTCCTGCCTTAGCCAATCAGCCACTGAAGTTCTGGGCCACCGTCCTCACCTGTGCACAGCCCTCTTGCCACTAGCCTGGGAGGGGTACTGCCAGGCTCCGTGGCCGTCCGGAAGCGCCCAGCACACTTACGGGGCCATGCTTCTCAGAGCCTCCCGGCACAGCTGACCCTGCACATAGGGGCCCGCCCCAGACACCACTGTCCTGCTGTACGACCTCTCCGGATGAACCAGGAGCACCAGAGGTTTCAATGCAACTGATCTGGAAGCCAGCATGGGAGTAGCTGTGTCTCTGTCCCTGCCCTGCGCGGAACCACACTCTGTCCTGCTTACCTTGTCACTCAGCCCTGGCTTGGCCCAAGCTTGGGGATGGTGGTGTGACAGAACTCTGAACTGGGCACAGCCGAGGGACTGCTGCCAGCTTACCCCAACAGCAGGAGAATGGGAGTCCTCAGCCATTCCCGAAAAAGGTAAGAGAAGCTGCTTCCATGATTTGGGGACATGAGACGGTGGCTTGGGTCGGCTCTTTCTTGAGGAAAAGTTCGTGCTGCAAAGGCGCACACACAGTCAGGTTCCAGTGGGACAGACTTGTCCGCACATTTGGCAGATGCTTTCCTTTTGCTTTGTGTGAGCCTCTGGGAAAAGGCACTTCGGGGTACAAGGACATCCAGGCTGACTGACATGGGCCAGGGGTATGAGGTCCTTAGCTGTTGCTTTCCCAGCTCCGCTTGGACTGGAGGAGAGCTCAGGTTCTCTCCTGGTGGACCCCACGTTAGTGGACAAACAGATGAGAAACCACAGTCCCCAGAGGGACGGCTGGGAAAGGGGAGCAGATATGGATGACTGTTTCTTGTCTGAACTGGGAGTTCCTTCCAGCAATGCCCTCGTCCACTGGTCACCGGGGCTGCCTGTTTAAAATGCAGGCTCTGAGCTGCCCCCCTCAGGAACTCTGATTCAGTGGGTGTGAGATATTAGCCAGGTACCTGCCTCTTTACTAAACTCCATTTAAGAAGCATCAGGGGAGACGGTGAAGGTTGACCACACACAGGTGACCAAAGGGCAGAAAGATTTTAGAAATTCTGTGGTGAAGGAGATCCAGGAGCTGGGCCTCCTGGATAAGTCACCCCACTCGTTAGGCCTCATCTGTCAACCAGCAGCACTGGACTGGGTGACTGGCATTCTGTTGTTCTCCAGGCCCAGGGCCCTGAGGGCTGGGAAAGTTCCAGAAGGATGGGCCTTTCAGGGCTATTCCCCAGGGTCATGGGCACTAGGACTCTGTCTGACTGTAAGGGTCCCCAGAGGGCTACAGGACATCTCCTGAAAGGGACCACCCACAGAGGGGTGTTTGGGAAGTCAGGGCCAACCGGAGTGGAGGCATTTTCCTGGTGGAGACCGTAGGTACTGAATGTCCTACAAGGCACAAGACAGGCCTGGAGAGCGAGGACCTGCCTGCCCCAGGCTGGAGAAGCAGGTCAGACAGACGTGGCCCGTGTGGTAGCCACAGGCTCCGGAGGCCATCCTAATTCTGGAAGTGCAGCTGAAGGGCCCACTCGGATCTCAGCACTGAGTGACCCCCCCCCCCACGCCACCAGACACATGGCACTGCCGTCCATGGCTTCCGACAACTGGAGCTCTGAGAAGCGCGTTTGTAATGAAGGTATGGCTGCCTCTCTACATGCATTCCTCTCCCTTCACTGAATGGCAGCAATGCTCTTTACTATGGGAACTGACCTCCTCTGAGGGATTGGGCCTGACGGGTCCACACACAATACTGTCTCCACGATGTCAGTCATTGGCTCAGTCATCTGGCCAGTTCTGGACAATGAGAGGGCAGGAGAGGTATGGCAGAAATTTCTGGAAAAGTTCTTCCTTGAGCCTTAAAAACAAGCCGCTGGAATCTTTCTCTCTCTGACCTGACGTAGAGGAGGAGAGATGAGGGCTTGGTTGTTCCCAGCTGCCATTCCCCAGTCAACGTGGGATAGGTAACGTAGGGAGGGGAGAGAAGGTGAGAAGCCAGGTTTACGATGAGGCAGAGCAGGGAAAGGGGAAGAACCAGGTCCATTTTGATGTCCCTGAGACCAGCAGGAAGCGCTCCTGACCTTGGGACCTCCCTGGTTGTGAGAAGTACATTTCTGCATGGTTTAAAAAGCAAGAAACTTGTCTCAAAATAATCCCAACTGATACAACCTTCTAAGCCTTCTCTTCTATAGTCCCCATGGAAAGGTCCAGAAGAAGGAGAAAAAGAAAGGCCATTCTGTGGTTGTGGAGTTTACATCAGATAAATCAGAAACTCACTGTGTGAGTCAGAATCCAGCCATTACCTCAAACTCGGTAAATGACTCCAAGCAGATCCCTGGTGCCTCCAGGCCAAAGGTGACCGAGTCGTTCCTGCGCCCCCCTCCACCCGGCCCAGAGAGGGTCTGCTCACCTCCTCCGGGGTGGAGACGAGCGAGCAGCTGGCTCCTTGGCTGTCAAACCCACTGTCCTTCATGCTGCCGTCGGCACAGGCCGGCTCCTGACAGGCCCCGCCAAGGCCCTGGAGGTCGCTGTGCCTCTGTGCCCAGGCCTGCAGGAGACTGGCCTTCCTCTCCTCAGAGAGGTTCTGCCACAGGTGGGAGATGGCAGCAGAGACAATGGGGAGTGTCACCTCGTGTAAGGAGACAATCCCGCTCTCGATCAGAAGGTCCATTGTCTGCTTGTAAAAGTTGAGATACCTGTAACAGAAACAGCATCATCTCCCAGACCTGAAGCCAGTGGCCGAAGGTCTCTCCCCAAGCCGTCTCCTCAGGATTCCGTTAGCAGGCTGTGGTCCATAGCACATGAGTCTTGCCACAGCTCTGCGGGTTACCAGGGGCTTTGCCTTCCTAGTCTGCCTGCCGCTGACCCTTGGAGAGCAGGAGCCATCATGGATGATATAGCTCTTGTCCCCAGGTCCTTCCCCAGAGTCCCCATGGAGCACTCTGCCTGACAGAAGAGAAAACTAGGAGTGAGGCCTGCTCAGTTCTCAGCCCATGGGAAAACCGCTTCAAATTACAAGCCCTATGAATGTGCAGACACATTCTTGTTTTACTTCAGGGCCTGAAATTCAGGCTCAGCTGTGGAAGGACCCTCCTTCTATTGGGCCCCTACCTCCAGAGGCCAACATGGCCACCATGGGTCTTGAGTCTGTAGAGGGGCTGTGCATGGCCATCTGAGTTAGTCATTCACCTTGTTTCTTACTATGAGACCAGGAATACAGGTAGGGCATGTGTATTTGTGTGAATGGGGGTGTTTGGTCCTCATAATCCCCATCAACAGCTCCCCCAAAGTCAACTCCAAATAAGGAAGTTGGTCTAAGGAAGCTCAGTGTATGTGTTGCACAATGTAGCTTCAAGATGATTTCTCTAGTCCCTCTGCCAACCTCATCCCCAACCCCTCCCATATGGAAATTCTGGAGCTTCCTTGATTATGGCTCTTGTCTGAGAGTGAACTGAGGACACTGTGTGCTCAGAAAGAGCCTCTGTCCCCTTCCCCACAGGCTCCGTGTGAAGCCACCCTTCCCAGCCGTTCACACCGTTCAAATTCCATGAGGTCCGGCAGCAAGGTGACTGGGGAGTGTAAGAGCTCCACTTTCTTCTCTTCTTCCTCCTCCTCTTCTTCCTCTTCCTCCTCTTCTTGGTCTTCCTCCTCCTCTTCTTCCTCTTCCTCCACTTCAGCATCCTTCCCGACTGCCTGGATTGGGCACCAGGTGACAGAACCTTTCTGCAGAACCTTATTTGAGACCAGGCTAGTGCGAAAACAGAAACAAGACAACTACGAACTAATGCCCCTCATGAACACCAACACTGAGATTCCAAACACAATTTTAGTATTGGGACCAAGCAGGGCTCGTCCTAGGAGTACAAGATGGCTGGTTCAAACTTTGAATGTCAAGTAGTGGAACTCAACAGAGCAACAGACTAGAGAAGAAAAACCATACGATTATCTCAATAGATACAGAAAAGCACTCGGCAAAATGCAACATCCATTCATGACAAAAACTCTCAGTAAACTAAGTAGAAGGGAACTCCTCCACCTGATAAAGGACACCTACAAAAAACCTAGAGCTAACATCGTAGTTGACAGTAAGAGACTGAATATTCCCTGCCTAGGTCAGGATCAAGACAAGGATGTCCACTCTTACCACTTCTATCCAAAATCGTACTGGAGATCCTCACCAGTCCAATAAGGCGAACAGAAGAAATAAAAGATAAATAGATTGGAAAGGCAGAAGTCACACACAAATATGGGACTAGAACTAAGAAGCGTGTTTAGCAAGGTGGCAGGATACAAGGTCAATAAAGGAAAACCAATAGTATTTCCACATATTAGTGATGAACAACTGGAAATTGAAATTTTAAGAAGTACCACTTACAACAGCACCCCAAACATGAAATGCTTAGGTTTAAACCATAAGTTCGGTCTGAAAAAGAAAGAGTGGATAAGTTAGACTTTATCAAAATTTTTAAATTCTGCTCTTCAAAAGGCAGTTTTAACAGAGCGGAACGGCGGGTGGTGCAGTTGGGTAAGTGCCCAGCTCTTGGTTTTGGCTTAGGTCGTGATCTCAGGGTCGCGAGACCGAGCCCACGTCACTCCATGCCCAGAGTTTGTTTCAGATTCTCTTTCTCTCTTCCTCTGACCCTCCTGCTCATGCTCTCTCTCTCTCTCTAAAATAAATAAATAAATCTTAAAAAAAAAAAAAAAAGAATGGAACGACATGATATAATTTGGAAAACCAGGATTTGTACCCCAAATCTCTTCATCCTGATAAGAATAATCCCCAAGGAGGTATCATGTTGAGTCAAAATACAAGTGCACCAGAAGAAAACCGAGGAGGATCCTTCTTAAAAGAGAAAAAATTTTTTTTTCCATTTCAGAGCAGAGGAAGCCTTTCTGAGTACTCTCCCAAGCCTAAGTCATGGGGGCAGGTCGGCAGATTAGACTTCATTTTTTGCATGGCCAAAACAACAACAACAAAACATCAAAAGCAAAATAATAAAACAAACGACCAAGGGATAATTATTTGCAAGTCATGTCCTAAAAGAGAGCTAATTTCTCGGTACACGTAGAGGGCTTCTACAACTATGTGAGAAAAAGACCACCCACCCAACAGGAAAATGGGCAAAAAATAGTCACAAGAAGTTCCCGGGAAGAAATACAAATGCTCTTGAACAAAGGCACTGAATTTCCTTCACAGTGTAATTAATTAAAATATAATAATTATGAAATGTAATCTGTTCCTGAGCTGATGCCATACTTTTCATTGTTGCGGGTTTAAAATACTGATAGTGAAAAATCCCAATTATTATGATTTTAAAAGAAATTTAGCCGTTCTCATGTGGGCCCTCGATGTAAGTATTGGTAAGATTTTAGTATGGGATAAAGCGTGTATCTTAAATCGGTAAGGAAAGGATGGCTTATGTGATGAGTGTGGCTGGGATCAGTGGCTAATCATTTGGGACACCCCAATGCAACTGTCTGCCTTGCTGAGACCACCTTGCCCATCGTGAGGTGATGCTTGGGAGTCTTACCTGGGATTGCCAGAGTACACACTGGCGTATTCTGCCTTGACCTCCTCTAAGCTATTTGCATTCCCATCCTCCAGGTTGAAGGACTCTGTTGGGAAGGCAAAGGCAAGGGTCACAAAGGGGGAATTCTGGTCTTTGTCAAGTCTCTCCCGCCCTCCCGATTCAGGTGGACCATGAGTGGTCCCTAAGCCCCCCCAGATTCAATATAAGGGAGTCAAGGGTCCAGTTTCCCCTCTCCTTCTAGATGTGAGCTTCTTGAACTGGCCCTTCTCAATCAAGACACCGAAACATCCCGTTCAGAGCTCAGTTTCCACCAGCTTCTGAGACCCGCCTTCCCAGGCCGCCGCCTGTCCCAGACTGAGTGCCAAGAAAGGGAGCCATGTTTTTGGCTTTGCTGTTGAGTGTGACAAGCGCCGGTCTGTGTCCTCTCTGGTATCTCAAGATGGGATCAGGTACCTGATAACATCTGTCTGTCCTGCCAGACTATAAAGTCCCCAAGGGCAGGGGCATGACTTTCATTGTACCCCTGGGCCTAGCCCAGCGTCCGGCACACGGTAGGCATGCAGTAAGTATCTGTTTGCTTGGCCTAAGGCACTCTCTCTGTTTTCGATGGAAAAACCAACGAGTCTTTCCATGGGAAGGAGATGGGGGTGGCGGATGGGGGTCTATTACCTTTCAGCTTCAGCAGATTATCCAAGGTTTGTTCCAGCTCCTGGATGTGGTTCTTCGCCTTATTCAAAACCTGCCACTGAGGACAGAGACAGACACTGATGCAAAGCCAGCTTTCCACCACCCAGTCTGTGGTTTGGAGGACACAGGAGTCCATTCCCGGTCTGAGGCCATCCTCCCTCAGAGGCCAAGCCACATTCCTTGACATTGTCAACAAAAAGGGTGGGAAGTGTGTTCGGACGCACAGAAGGCATGAAGTTTAATTTGTATTCTGGAAATGGTTCTCCCAGAAATACTCGAATGTTTAGAAATAAGCCGTGTTCGGCAAACTACTAGGGCTTCAAAAGGCAAGCAACCATATACGCTTCTCCTCGAAGGTGGAATGAACAAGGAGCGAAAAGCAGCTCCGAGTGCGGGGGTGGGGGGGGCGGGATGGGGGATGCAGAGACAAACACACACAGAGGGAGGACGAGGTGAAGACACAGGGAGAAAGTGGCCATGTGATCGGAGGGCGGCATCTCTAAGCCATGGAACGGTGAGGAATTGCCAGCAAACACCCAAGGCTGGGAGGCAGAGAGGGCTTCTCTCAGAGGGAGCGTGGCCCTGTGGACACCTTGATTTTAGACTTGGAGCCTCCAGATGTCCACCACAATAACTTTCTATTGCATCAATCCACCCAGTGTCTGGTATCTTGTTACGAAAGCCCTAGGAAACTGACAGGACCACCGGACTCCTGTAGCTCAGATCCTGCCTTCTTGGATCTTACAAAAGCAAAATTCAGGGTTGTCCCTCCAGCAGGACCGAGACAGGAGAACAGAGAGAACTCCTGGTCTGCACACTGTTTCCCAGCTGTGCCGTTCCAGGCAAACGGTTTGACTTCCTGATGCCTCCGTTTCCTCATCTGTAAAATGGGGTGATCTGAATGGAACTGCAGGGACTAAATGAGCGAACACGCTGGGAAGCAATGCTAACACTTAAACCACTCTGATGGCGCCACACCTTTGCACACAGCCACCTCATGAGAGGCCACCACAGGCCCCTGAGGACCCCGTTACTATCGTGCCTGTTTAACAGACGCGGTAAGTGAAGCCTGGCCCGGAACATGTCTCCCACGGATGGAGGCGCGTCCGCCAGGCTGTCAGCCACCACGTCGTGAGGTACAAACCGTAGCAGGTGCAGGTGAGTTTTCCTCTACATTTACTTCCATTCCTTCCTTCGGGGCCCTGAACGCATGGTCTTTCTCTGGTTACACCCCAGACTGTGTGCACTTCTTCATGGGCCAGTGACCGGGACTTTGGGGTTTTCCACGGACCCCTGGGAACAGGCAGCCTATTCCTGTCCATCCAGGGGACACGGTGCAGAGCCGTGCTAGACAGGCTCTTGGCCCTAAGCCCCTGCGCCTGGCTCAGCAGAGGGAGGAGGAAGAGCCCGCCCCACACCTCTCACCTTCCACGCCCTTCTACGAGAGCAGATGGGATCTCTGCTCAGATTCTTTTGGTGGAATAACGTTCACACCCCTACTTGGCACCTTGCACCAAGGTGCTTGGGGGGCCGCCACTAAAATCAAGACACATTCCCAGACGCCCTGGCTCTGAGCATGAGGCCCGGAGCTGGAAACGGAGGCTCTTCTCCTCGTCCTGCCCCCAGCCAGGTTGATGCATCCTTTCAGACTCCAGTCCCTCCTCTGTTACGAGAGGGCAGGGAACAGGCTCTCAGAGCCCCCTCCCCTGTTGGAAACCTCCTGTAATGCTCCTCCAATGATAGGAGCTCATGCCTTCCAGCATCACCCAAACCACCTGGACCTTCCTCCATGCTCTGCCAGAGGCACGAGTAGGCAAGAAAGAAACCACAGAAGGATAGAGGTGAAATCAAGAGCAGGAAAAAGTAAATGCTGACCTGGAGAGCTCCGGTGCCTGCGGAAGAGACCTGACTGGTGGACAAAACCAAGCTGCGTGTGTGTGTGTGTGTGTGTGTGTGTGTGTGTGTGCGCACGCGATGGAGATGGCAGCGTCCAGAAGCTGCTGCTGGAGACTCACCCCGTCTACTGGAGGGCTAGGCTGGCCAGTCCCTATTATTTCCCTTCCAGTGCCAGGCCTGTCTGCCCCAGGTGGGGAAGGCCCAGCTCCTGCTGTACCCACGTGTGGCCACAAACAGCCGATCGGAGATGCCCACAGCGGATCCCTGACCCACCCAGGCTGCTGCCCTTGGAGAGGGGACAGTGGGAGTGGGAGCGCCCGGCCAATCCCCCCTCCCCTCGCCCCACAGTCCCTCCCTGTGTGGAGACTGTTTCTCCCACACCCAGCTCCCCATACCTTCGAGGCTGTGAGATCGGAATGGGAGTAAACTGTTTTCCTGAGGCTGCTGAACAGCCTGGCCAGCGTGGCTCGGTGGCGGGCCTGGGACAGGCGTCGGCGGGCCACCCGTGGCTCGAGCTCCTGTAGCTGTGCCAGGGGCCAAGGGGGCGCTCTGCCACTGGGGTTTCCGCCTTCTCCGGAGGTTGCCATGGGAAGCTGCAATGTAATATTACACCCTTCGGGGGGCCCTAAATAATAAAGATACAATGTTAAAGAAAGAGGAAGGCAAGATCGAAGGAGAAAGAAAGGGGGTACCATTCCCAGGGAACGGGGCCCCAACCAGTGAATACAATCAATAACAGATACCCAAAAATAGATGACACAAAATCCATTATTTGAGCTGGACTCCTAGAAACACAAACCACTCCTATTTGACTCAACAGCCAAAGGGTGCTTCAGACGGGAAAATTTCCGGAACACTGCCGGTAATCACCAGACAGTTGTTAGTTGACAGGCGGTGGCCGAGGAGAGCCAGCAGGGCCCTGAGACCTCGTTCCTCACAGTCTGTGCGACGCTGTGCAGGCCTGTGCCCCCCCCCCCCCCCCCCCGAGGACTTGCCCACCATGGGAATCACCCCTCTGTGATCTGGGTAGCGGTTACACAGGTATTTATACAAAAGGAGATCCAACTGTGTTTCTTGGAGTCATGAACCTTTTAATATATAATATTACATATATCTGATATCTCAAATAGAAGAGATGCAGCCTTCTACCTGTGAAAGCAAAAAGTCACATAAGGACAGAGAAGTGAAAGCAGTCTTGCCTTGTCCTGCTTCTAGTGGGTTCTGAAGATGACACTTATGTTGTCTCTTGTCCCATCTGAGTTTACAAACCAGGAGCCCTTCCCAAGGAGAGGCGATTCCAGGGCTGATACAGAACAGTTTTAACAGAAGACAAGGACTGGAGTCTCTTACCTGAGCCGGGACCCCGCCTTCGGGTGCTCACCCCACCACTCAGAGGACAGGCAGCTCTGTGAACAGAGGGCCTGAATCTTCATCACCCCTGTCCCCCCAAGAGGTGTTCAGGCCTGGGGTTTTGAGTGAATTACAACGGGAGCCCTCCGCTGGGTCCACGCGGCCCTGAGTTCAGTCCGGCTGCGTGGGGACCACGCACGACCTCAACCAGGGGCCTGCCATTTCTGATGTGTGCCAGTCCACTGGGGGGCACTGGAGGAAATACACAGGCCCAGGCCCCACTTCGACAACACCGGCTCTGAATCTCACAGGGTAAGCCCAGGCATCTGGGGGGCAGCCTACTCCCCAGCTCATGCAGCCATGTTCACGGTTGGAGCCACTGCGAGGCACATGCAGTGACACGTCTCTCCACGAACCACAGCTGGGAGCTGGGAATGGATTCTCCTCCGTAGAGGGAGGAACCAGGGGAGGAGGCTTGAAAAAGCTTTCCCGCTAAGCTCTGGGGGGAGAATTCAGCCACAGAGACAGAGAAGCCGACCAGGCAGTGTGGGATTTTAAAATACTACTTAGGATGGGGCGCCTGGGTGTCTCTGTTGGTTAAGTGTCTGTCTTCAGCTCAGGTCATGAGCCCGGGGTCCCGGGATCGAGCCCTGCATTGAACCCCGCATCGGGCTCCTTGCTCCGTGGGGAGCCTGCTTCGCCCTCTCCCTCTGCCTGCCGCTTCCCCTGCTTGTGCGTGCTCTCTGCCAAATAATTACTCAAAATCTTTAAAAAATAAGATAAAGTAAAACACCATTTAGGGCAGAAAGTGAATCTTCTACGAACAATGTACTCTCCTCCAGCGGCGTATCTGCCCTCGCTTTGCTTCTCAGAACAATGTCGGAAGTGGGTGCGCTGTGGGGGTCTGCCCTGACCTTGAAGTTCCTATAACATTTATTACCAGGAAAGGCACCATCAGCACGTGGAGGGCAGCCGTGGACTCCATGCAGGCCCATCCAGCCTGGGGACACATCTTTAATGGGAGGCAAAACGAAACAAGGGAAGTTTTGAATGGCCTAGAGAGCAATGGGAACCTTTTGAACCTAAGAACACAGGTTTTCTTTATTTGCTTAAATTTGGGAGAAATGAATGTGCCTGGACCCCAGGGAATTTAGGTCAACGAACAGAGGTAAAAATGCCAGGGTTCTCCCAAGGTATAGAATTCTCTAATGAACTCAGAATACTGACACCAAAGGTCCTGGGCTTGTGGGGAATCTGGAGTTCTCGAGGTGCCGATGCTGATACTTCGGCTTTCCTCCCAGGCTTCCACCCAGACATGCTCCACCCAAATTCCTAAATGGCTGTGTGGTTTCAGTCCTGTGTGAGCGTGCAGCTCCCTGCCTCTCCCACAGCGGACAGACCCTCCTGTTACTTCTACCCCAAGGGACAGCATTCACTGCCTGCCACCGCGGGTGAGGACGGTCCCAGACCATCCTGCCCACCTCAGCCCAGAGTCAGAAGCTCTTGACGTGGGAGCGGGGGGCAAGCCGCGGGGATGGTGAGACGTATTAAGCAGATATTAAACCTGATATTAAGGCTGATAAGACCTCACACAGTTGTAAATGCCTACTCCTAATTGCTGCGTCCTGCTCTCTGCTAGGAACGATCTGCTGTGATCTCCAGAAGGCATTCTTCTCGAGGTATCTTTGTCGACTTGCGCCGGGGACCTGACGGGAGCTGAGGTGGATATTTTCAGACCGAGCTCTTTGTTGCCATCAAACAGGTGGGGGGGGTCTGTGCCGTCTTCACCTGTGACAGGGGTGGCTCGCCCAGGAATGAGTACCAGAGAAGCCACAGTCTTGGTGGGGAGGGGAGGCAGGACCCTCCTCCTGCCTTTTTCCCAGGTTGGCTCTTTTGCTAGAAAAGGGAGAACTAACTGGAAAAATGAGGTTGAGAAGGGATGTTTTCTTTAATACAGAACAAAACAAAACCAAACCTTTTCTCTTAAATGTCCTGTGCGGGTGCCAAGCGTGCTAAGGAGACTGCCCCCATCGGTGTGAGGAATTAGAGCAGTGTAGAGAATATAGTCTGAGCTGTCATTCCCCAAGGCCTGGAAATCTGCATTTTAAGAGCAGCCACCCCCCCCCCCATTTTCCCTTCTCTCACTACCAGCAACAGAAACATGTGCTCTCCTGCCCACCACCCTCTATTCTGCGGCCCACTGCCTGTCCTCCCACTGGGGACACGGCCCCTCTCTCTGTCCCCCACCCCCAGTCTCTACCTATGGAGAGCCAAATTGCCCTTCAATACCTAGGGTAGGCCCCATCTCCTCTAAGAAGTCGCCCAGTCCCATCCACACCAGTTTCTAACTTAATTTTGTTTTGCCAACAAATTAGTAAGATCCTTGGTCAGGGTTCACATATCCAGCATCTAAAGTATCCCTCCCCAGGTCGAGTCAGAACAGGGTAACGACAGGATAGGATTAAGAAAAGACTCTGGGGGCAGGGAATAACAGCTAGTCTGACCCAAACCCGAAAGACTGCTCTGGAGCCTAAACATTAGATCTCTTGAATTCAGTTCTCAGCCAGACTCACAGTGAGAGGCACACTTTTGAGAAGTTTAAAAAGCTTTGGAAGGGAACGCTGGCCAGTTGTCCCATAAAACGGCTGGGGAGGGATTACCCGGAGCAAGAACATGGATATCCTATTCTGACTCAGGAAACCTGCCATGTTCGGAGGCTGAGTTTGAATGTCTGGGCAACTGAAATGTATGCGAATCTAGGGAAGTCAGTACAGAGCTGTTGGTGGAGGGAAGCTAGTCCTAAGGACCCACCGTGGGTGGGGTGATGCCTGATGCCACACCTGGAGATGGTACCGGCTAGTGGGATAAACTGGTGTAGGGAAAGGCAGGCTGGAGTGGGGATTGGCTCAAGATCTGGGCTGTAATTCCAGCTCTGTGATAAGCAGACGTGTGACTTTATATAAGCCAAGAAGCCTGAGGTCTTAATGTCTTTATCTGAAGAAAGGAGGGGAGAAAGCCTTTCACAAGATTATAGTTTAAACTCTTCAGCCTCTCTAAGGTCATTGTCACGATTCTATGACTATCTGGGGCAAAGGCACGCAGCACAGGCGGCTCATATCCCATGAGACATGGATGGAGCCCAGAGCTGTCCCCTAACTGTGTCCCCTAACTGGTCCCACAGCAGCATGGGAAGCTGCATCTGAAGGAATTCTGGGCGCTGTGGCCCCAGGGACAACTGTTCACTGGGCACTTTCTCTGTGCAAGCCCCATTCATTCTGCAGGAAACTGGGGCCAAAGATTCTAGTCATTTCAGAATGTGCAGATCTCTGATATATATTCCCTTTCAAAAGCTCTTTACTGTGTTCAAACCTGTTCATCAGATCAGCGTGCTAAGCACACTCTTCAGTCTAACAAAGTCAGAGGACCACTGCCTCCATGCATTCTTCTGGAAAGGCACTGTGACAATTCACATGGTCATGCCTTATCTTTTATTATTTCTCATCTATAAGGGAAAGCATACTTACATTACCAAATACTTAGGTATTAAAATGCAGCTTGATACCCATTGGAGCTGACATTTTTAAAACTACCTAGATGAATTTTTTTAAAAATATGACCTCACCCTCTCTGAGACTCAGAGAAATTTTCATCATTTTTAAGCACCACTCCACAAAACATCTGAGTGTGGTTGTCTTCAGCAAACCCTAGGCAAACGTACACAATACGCTGGATAATGTTTTGCAACCCACAGGCATCTTCCTTTGGTTCACTATGCTTATCAGACCATGTCAGAGAAAAAAATCCAAAATCATCCTCAGAACGGTCTGGTTTGTGGTGGTGATACAAACGCTCACTGCAAGTCTGGCCCCAGACCTCAGTGGTCGCCCGCTTGGATCCGCAGGCATGGATCCACCGCACGTACGGGAACAAGCACACGGCCAAGGGCGCCTTGCCAAAGATGCTCAGGCACGGGACCTGCAGCGTTTAGTCCATAGTCACGCGCCGAGGAGGGAGGCAGGCACCCGGGCTCACGACGTCCCCCCTCCCCGGACATGCGGGAGGCCACCTGAAGCTCTGACACCCGTGACAGTTGTCCCGAGGGCCAGCCAGCCTGCGGACTATGGTTCCGCCCCAGCTGGGAGACAGACCCGGCTCCTGGGCACTGGGCGCGGGCCAATCAGAGCGTGTCTCCGGCCCCCACAGCCAATGGGGATGCTTGGTGGTGGGCCAATGAGGG